AAGGCAGGATTTGGGCTCACCATAAGGCAACACACGTAAATGATAATCTTTGGATATTGATAATTATTTTTAAGTCAGTCATGGGGCCTGAACTCTGGGCCTGGGCACTCCCCCTCAGCTCTTCAGCTCAAGGCTAGTGCTAACCACTTGAGCCACAGCACCACTTCTGGCTTTTTCTACTCATGTGGTGCTGAGGAAACAAACCCAGGGCCTCATGCATGCAAGGCAAGCACTCTACCACTGAACCACCTTCCCAGCCCCAACATTGATGATTTTTTTTAAGTCATTCACAGAAACATCAAAAGCTTGAGTTGACTGTAGGAATATTCACATACCATAGTATCACAGACATTGTTTGGGTCTCGTATATGAGTCTTGCTGGGTGGAGAAGACATTGAAGTGTGGGATCTATATATATCAAGATTGTGAAAGAGACATTCTGTGTTAGGTCATGTGCCCTTCCCACCCTTTCCATCCATTGCCTTGCTCCCTGGCCTGAATCTCACTGACCTGGGACTGTCTCCCAGATGTCTGACAAATGGTCATCTTCAGCACTGCTGACCTGCATTAATCAGGTCGAGGTGGGTTCACAACTTCATTCAGCCCTTGTTAAGTATCTACTTAATCACCTTCAGAAGGTGGAGTAGCATGCTGTGCTTGGGAGTGATTTTGTAGAACTTTGCTAAGAGTAGTATCTACAAAGAGGAAGCTTGTTGGCTTTGTTCTCATCCCTGAATTTTGACCTGCTCCTCACCAACCAAGGCAGTTGCTCTGGCTGAGAGAGCAATTATGCTCATTTTTGCCTTTTTTTTAACTTAGGAAAAAATGTCTCCTCTGCATTGTTGTGGAGACTGGATAAATGAGACAGATAGATGGGGGCAGGTATGAGGAGGTGACAGGAGTTGGCTGCCGAGTTACCTTTGTGATCCATCTCTGCAGAAGCCAGCGTTAATTCCATGGAGACTCAGCAAGACTGTTCTCCAGCAGTGACAGTTTGGACATCTAAACATGACCTTGGATGTGCCCAAAACCGCAGCTGAAGCTATGCCAACTTTTCAGTGAAGTATATCCCGAGAGCTGCATAGCCGTGCTGGAAATTGGCTGCGTGCGCAGCCTTCATGTGGCCACAAAGGAACTCTTTGGCCTTGTAACGCAGCGAACTGTGGTGGGAGGGCTTCTGTTTCAGCTAATTCTCAGTAATTAGATACTGATCAGGAAGCCAGACTGTCCTCTGGTACCCCTCTTGAGGTTGTGAGATGTACATGTTGTGAGCACCCACAGCCATTATACATAAAGCCTAGAGTGTTTTGGTCAGAATTCCCTGCACCATGGGCATTTAACTGGTATCTGGTCAGATTTCAACTGCTGAGAGAGAGAAAAAATAACTAGGAGTCTACTATAGCTTTCTAGACCATAATGATTACTCGAACATTCTCAACCACAAAGTAATGGGAAATGGTTTCTGAATCATTTCTTAGTGCTCATTCACTCTGTGCTCTCGTGTCACCAGTAACCAGATATCTAAATGAATGGTTCTCAAAGCCAGAGCATCAGCACCACTTGGGGGATGAGACAGAAAGGCAGGTTTGAAACCTCCAAACTACTGAGCCAGGAGCTTGGGGACAAGGACACAGCCACCTCTGTTTTATCGAAACTTCTGTTTGAAGTTGTGAACTTCTGATTTCTGTTTGTTTGAGACCTAACAAGAGAGTGAATTTGAGAAGTAACAAAAAAACAAAGAGAAAATTGGGGTGAATACTGGTGCTGGTCCTACAGTTCAGTGTCACAATGATCTAAGTCTCAGGTATTTCATCCAAAAAAATAGCAACAGTAAGTGAGCACAGCCACATTTTTGAGCTGTGATTAGTACATGGAATGAGTTTACGCAGTTCCTGGAAGAGTGATATGTGTCCAAGAAGCATTGGCCACCAGTGTCAAGTTACAGCCATTCTCTGCTTGGACCCAAGCAATATTAAAGCTTTGCTATGAATGTTGACACATGTTATAAGGAAAGAAGGCTATGAGTGTTTTGTCCTTTTTGAGGGATTTCAACCAATGTGGTTCCAAAGCCAGCTTTCAGACAGCCCAGCTCAAGATGAATGTAAATGGTGCTGTGTGGAACGTAAGGGAAGGAACAGGATCAGGAAGTTCCTCTGTCAGCTGTTTTCTATCTGAGAATGCTTTGGATAGTGTCATCAAAGCCCAAAGGAAGGGTTGGAACGGCTTCTTAATCTAGTCTAACTTCCATGTCAATTGAAGTTACCTGGAGATCTTGGGAAAATGCAGATTTTGCTCCATTGACTCTGATATGGGCTTTATATTTTCTGTTTATTTTTCTTTTACTATAATGGTGATATACAGAGGGGTGACAGTTACATAAGTAAGGTAATGAATACCTTTCTTCTGAATACTGTTACCCTCACTCTCATTTTCTCCTGCTTTCCAACCCATCCCCTGGCTCCCTTTCCCCCTAAGTTCTAAAATTCATTTCCAGCATGGTATCTAGTGAGTATCACTGTTACATTGGTTCACCCTTTGTCCCACCATTTTTGTGATTCTTTTTCCCTTCCCTAAATCAAATGATCTTATATGCAAGACAAAGGGTACAGAATAAACCAAAGAGGAAAAAAAACAAAGAAAAAGAAATAACTGCAAACAGCACTGGGGTTTGAGATCATGGCTTCACACATACTAGACAGGAGCTTACCACCTAGGGTATGCCTCCAGCTCCTAGGATCACTGACATTGGCATCATCCAGGAGAACCTAAATTTGGCTCTTGGTCCTGATTTCATATCTATTTATTAGCAAGACCTGCCCCTCCCAGGCAATTTGTAAACACAGTAAAGTTTGAGATGTAGTCACAGCTAAGTCCATGGTTATTTATGTGCATAAGGAAGTACATTTTCTTAAGGGCTTTGCTGTGTCCATTTCAAACTTCTTCCTAACTCCCTCAGCTCTTCAGCTCAAGGCTAGCGCTCTACCACTTGAGCCACAGTGCCACTTCCAGCTTTTTTCTTTTTGCTTATGTGGTACTGAGGAATCGAACCCAGGGCCTCATGCATGCAAAGCAAGCGCTCTACCACTGAGCCACCTTCCCAGCCCCTCTTCCTAACTCTTGAGCAAAGATCTTTGCCTTTTCATTTCACAAGTCACAAATTATGTAGGTGGTACTAAACTGCGACAACAGTGGCTTTCCACCAAGTGTGACCCAACTGGATTCTTACCTTAACTTTGTACACACACACACACACACACACACACACACACACACACACACACACACACACACGGGTTTCAAAAAGATTCAGAATCAGCAGAATAGGGGATGATAAAGGATATGAACTCTCTTGTGATTCTGACATAAGTGGCCTATGCTTGCTTTGAAAAGCAGTCCCCTGACCCTTTCCTAGGCAGGTCTTCCATTCTATTATATCAGAATGGGCTAGGGAGTCCCTACATTGCTCCTACAGTGCTAGAAAATATTTTAAGCAATGTTAAACTTGCTGAACTCCAGTTGGGCAGTTTTCCCCCACAGAATTCTCAGCAAAGCATTCACCTACACCCGAGTGGCCCTCCAATGGTAGTGTCATTTACACGAGTAAACCAGAAACAATGTACAGTGCCAGTGGTCTCATCTTGAGAGAGACCATCTGGGGAAGCAAGAAATAGTAGTGCAGCAGTGCCCAGGAAAAGCTCCTAATTTTTTTCCTATGGTCAGAGAGACCATTTGGAGAATTTGATAGGAAAAAATTTCCTCCCACTGAAAACTTCTCCTTTACACAGTCCGAGGCATACACAGGACCAGAAATCGGTAGAGTTGAGTAGGAGATCTGATTTCAATACTTTCTGTCTCTAAAGTTGGGCAAGACTAAACACTTGGAACTCTGAAGTTCTGTTCTTTAAAGCAGCAAATGGGTAAAAGCATCTATACTCAGATTTGTTGCAGGAATCAAATGTGAATGTAAGAGGCCTTTGTACACTGCCAAAAGATGTATAACGTGAGGCATCATTATACATACCAAGCAACATAGCTATTTCCAGCAATGGTACTCAGGATCAGGACAGCGTGTGTGTGAATTCAGCCTAAGGCCATAGAACATACTTAGTGTAGCAAGAGAGAGAAATGAATCCAGACAGAATGTTATGATGAAGAGTTGGCGAGAGTCTCTGGGAGATTTCAAAGTACAGAAAAGGGAAGGAAGCTTCTACAATTTGAGAACTCCAGATGCAAAAATAAGAGAGGATATCTATTTTTATACATGCAAACAGTTTGGGGATTTTTTGGAAAATGCCTTTAGTCTAGCAATAATTGAACATTTCTGCCCTTGGGTATAATGAAGATAAATAGCAATGGTGGTGGTTCATATTTAGGTTTGACTTGAGAAGCCTTCTGGTAGAATTTGCTATTCTGAGATGAGTGCAATGATGGGTGGTAGTTAAAAGCTGGATTTCTGAGCTAGCACATATTAACTGTATGGTTTGGAAAGGAATTTAGTTTCTTTGTGCCTAAATTCCTGTTCTAGTACAGCATAACCATTGGGCTATTATAAGTACTAGACAACGGGTTACTACAGCCAGAACCTGTAGTGCTAGGGAGGTCTACCCATTTGGAGTATAAGCAAGATGCATGCAGGTTGTAAGTGAGAAATTCTTTTGGAGTGACAATTTGTTCTAGTGGTGTGAGGAGCACTGAACTTCTCAGGACCTAGAAATCAGACACATCCTATAATCCTTAGACTATAATCCTGATAAATTTCAGAAAGTCCCACCGATAAAAACAAACAAAAAAAATCAAACGTGGGAAATGCATGTGTGTATCCTGGGAGTAAAAGAGGATGATAAGTCATAGTAAGAAGATGGATGTTTCCTTCCTAACCTTGCCAGAAAGGAAAGCTCTCAGTCTAATGGCTTTGGTTTTTTATTCCCTTTTTTTTGGGGGGGGGGAGAGTTTACCCTCTGTTCCTTTGACTTACCTGTCTGGTCTTTACCTTCCTTCAGGTGCACCATTGACAACCGGGTCACCCGGGTGGCCTGGCTAAACCGCAGCACAATCCTGTACGCTGGGAATGACAAATGGTGTCTGGATCCTCGCGTGGTCCTCCTGAGCAACACCCAAACCCAGTACAGCATCAAGATTCAGAATGTGGATGTGTACGACGAGGGCCCGTACACCTGCTCAGTGCAGACAGACAACCACCCAAAGACCTCTCGGGTCCACCTCATTGTACAAGGTGAGTGGAGCTTGTCTGAGAGGCCTGGGTAGAAGACTGAGAAAGCTGTTATTAAGGATTCTTACTGTGATTCCCAACAGATGAGTTTATTTGTTCTGCCCACTGAGGACACCTTTTGGGTTGTTATTTTGTGTTTAGAAGCAGAATTTTTTTAAGTAATTTGCCCGCTGATTATAACGAGATTATTTCCCCTTTTTGTTTTTAGTCCAATAATGTATTTCCTAGAAAATTATCTTTTAATTATTGCTTTCCTTGGCTTTCTATCCCTTAAGCATGTTTGAAAATGTTCCAGCTAACTGGAAGCTTGCTTTATTTTATGACCAGCATTTGAATTGTTGTCTGATGCTACACATGTGCCCTGCCCTCAAGCCAGTCTTCAAAGAAAGCAGAGCCAGCCAGCATCCTAGGTTGCTTACAATCTTCCCACCCAAACCCACTGCTGCCCTGTATGTTGTCTCTTCTTATCTACCAGGCTCATGTTTTCAGCCCCGTGTCTTTCCTTTGGAACCAGGCTCAGATAGTCTACCTCTTAGGGTTCCATAGCATTCCTCCCTGTCTTCCATATTCCCAACCTTATATATTTGCTTGGGTTTTTGTTGGAGCAGGGTTTTGTTTGTTTGCTTGTTTCTTTCTTTTTCAGTATATTTCTCCAAATTCTGCTCTTTGTTTCCTCAGAAACTAATCCTGGGGATACGTATTCATTTCTTCCCACAGCCAGTACTGGTCCTGGGGCACTTAGAAAACACTTTACAAGTAAATATAATCCTAGTTAAAGAGTAAGAGTTTTAGAGATACATTGGACTGCCATTTGATGGAGAGAGGCTTTGATCAAGTTATCACTGTGCTTAAGGGGTTTCTTTCTGTAAAAATGAGGTCCATGTGGAAAGTTGGAATGGGGATCACATCTTACACACATAGTCTGTAGAACTTAGAAGAAAACTTTCCTCATAGAAGGGCAATTTACACGTTACTTTTGTACTATCTTATGTTCTTTTCTCTTTTCAAATACGGTTGTTGTCTTTTCACTTTTAAATACCTTTTACAGTAGATTAAATGCTCACTTTATCATCACAAATAACAGAAATGCTAGCTGCTGCTCTGTTGCAGGTTCTTCCTCAGCCTTGTGCCAGGCTCCTTTTCTCCAGCCACATAATGCAGGTGCAGGGTGGTGAAGACCTTCCTGCAGCTGCCCTACTTGTCAGCATGCTTGAGATGAGCAAAACGCTGGGCGTGATTTGGTTAACAGAAAACAGGGAGGGATGTGGCTTGATAAGGAAGGATCATCAGAGCTAGAAGCATCAGCAGGGATGGGAAACCATTTATCTGCCAAAATCCATTTGGATATTTATAACATTTGCTAGCCATTCAAAATTATCAATACAGGAAGATGGCCCTAGGCAGCTGATGAGAAACACATGGGTCTGGCCCATCGAGTACCAAATGATTTAGCTTGTGAGGCATTCCTCAGTCCTGAACAGAAAGCCACTGCAAAAGAGGAAAGACAGAAAAGCATGGATAGTAAATTAGAGTTATAAAGAGCAAAATAGGGTATGTAGTAAGGGAAGGAGGGCACAAGGAACAAAATGGACCCCCCCCAGTCCTGTCCTAGGGAGAGATTATGCTAGGGGAACACTGGTGCTCACACCAAAGTTTTTACATATTATTTTTATGCTTTCTTCATGAAAAGAAATTTTGATGGCTTTCTTTCTTTTCTTTGTTCTATTAATGAGTATATTTTTCAATCTCCTATGGGCAATTCTGTATGTGTGTATGTGTGTGTATGTGTGTGTGTGTGTGTGTACAAGAGTGTGCACGTGTATGTGTTCAATAGCAGGATTTGAACTCAGAACCCCTCACTTGTTCAGCTCCTGACATTTCAGAAATGTCTGAATCCAGCTTTGTCCTGGTTAATTGAAGATAGAGCCTCTTGAACTTGTCTACTCAGGCTGGCTTTACACTGAGATCTTCCAGCTTTCAATCTCTTACGTAGCTAGAATTATAGTCATGAGCCATCAGCTCTACGCCAAATATATTTTCAATAGAATAACTTAGAAGTTATCAGTGAATGTCCTAAGTCAGAGAGTAGGTATTGCTACATGAGATTTGGGGTTTGGGTGTGTCTTCATATTCAACAGAGACTATATTTTCATTGTAGATCCACAAAAAGTTTAACAATCAGGGCTGGGAAGTTGGCTCAGTGGTAGAGTGCTTGCCTTTCATGCATGAGGCCCTGGGTTTGATTCCTCAGCACCACATAAGCAGAAAAAGCCGGAAGTGGTGCTGTGGCTTAAGTGGTAGAGCACTAGCCTTGAGCTGAAGAACTGAGAGACAGTGCCCAGGCCCAGAGTTCAAGCCCCACAACTGAACAACAACAACAAAAAGTTTAACAATCACCAGTCAATAGGGTTATCTGGTACATTCTCTGGGGTACTATGTACAATACATACTAAACAGAGTGTTTCAAATCCTTCCTAGGGCCAAATATCTCATAACAGCAATGAAAAAGTAGAAATGGTAAGACAGTTGCTCTTGGAAGCAGTGCCTTTATGAAACTGGAAAACAAGAGGAATGAAAAAATGCTAAAAAACTTTCTTATAAACCAGAAACCGCTTTTTAGGTCATTTTTCTCTTCTGTCACCTTTTCACATGTACCCACATGATTCTGCCCTTAACACTTAATAGAGTGGCATGTATAAATTGAATATTTAGTTCATGCTTATTGAAACAGATGGCTAGAATTATAGCACCAAGATCTTCTATGGACTCCAAGCATTCAAGACTGAGTAGTTGGTGTTGGCGGGGGGAGGTGATGGAATGGTGGGGGCTGCAATCGACATCTTTCTTCACTCACGTCCAAGCTAATGGAAAATGTCTAATCCACAGCTAGGTGTTTACACCTGTGACTTGTTAGGTGCCCTCGTAGCTTGACACACCACCTGGAGTATTGGAATCGCATCTTGGGCTAATTTTCAAATGCTGATGGGTATATCGATCTAGAAACAAGCTGGGTTAAAAAAGGCATTGGTCTTGTACACAGACTCAGCCCAAGCTAATCCGCTGTCAATATGCCTGGACTGAGTATTATTGACACTTTAATGAATACAGGACCATAGTGTTTTCAGAGCCAACTAGTCCTCCCTCTTCAAAGCAATCAGACAAACTAAATAGAGCTAGGCTTCTCTGTTTTCTATGTTGGAAGAAGATACACTAACCATTGAGGATTAAAAAAAAATATGTTTATCTTGGGATCATTTATTACACAGAACAGAGACACTAGCAGAATGTGACTATCTGGATTTAAGTTGCTTTTACAACTCTTAATCAAATACTGCTAGCATGCAAATCATTTTACCTACATATTGTTTTCAAGATGGTTTTTAAGGCCATTAAGCAAAATAAAAGAAATTCAGCAGTATCAACAAAAAAACTGTGATAGTCTGACTATGTGTTTATGTCTGTATAGTCAGTATCATTTATAAACAATTCCACACAGAAGTAGGTAGTGGAATTTTTACAGTATTGTACAACATATTTAAGGTCTAGAATTAATGGAAACATCCTATCTAATTGATCATTATTTTGTTCACATTGTTTTCTTATTTCCAATGGAGGAGCTTGAATTCAGGGTCTTCTTGACAACCATGATACCATTTTTATTTCAACCTGAGAAGTGGGCCCTAAGCCCTTTCTGCATAAAAATTCCTGCCTTCCTTCCTATAATCAGTGTTCCCTGAGAACTAACTCTGGCAACATGTACCCTACCCAAGATAGAAGATGAATGATGGAAAACTACTCTTGACAAGCTTGTTCACTCTGTGTGGAGAAGATGGAATTGTGTAACATTTAGCTAAGCCATCCCTAAGAATTTAGCTTCTGGGAATACAGATGTCAAACCTCCTCTCCAAACACTTTTGGAAACACCTGAAGTATGTGTGGTCTTCTTACTTCAATGATTTCTGATAAGACATTTAAAAGTACTTAGAAAGAACCCAGACTAAAATCAAACTGGTCCATTTATGTGGCAGGCAATGTCCATAATGCTGCTAAGTGCTGCATTTTACATTAGTTCCAGGACAAGCAGCTAGGATGTAGGGGCTGTGGGCTGAGAGGTGAGTGATGTGGAATGGGAGCTGTGATCTGAGTGCTTGCAGCTGAGAGGTGAGAGCTTGAGGCTGAGCAATGGAGTCTCAGGGGCAAAGGGCTTGCTCAGGGCTGGTGGCTAGAAGCCCAGGGCTGAGGGCTGGTGACTAGGGGCCCAGGGCTGAGGGCTGACAGTTAGCCCAAGCCTCAGGGCTCTCCTCTTCCTTTCCTTTGCTTCAACATTAAGTACCACTTACCATCTCCTAACTCTTAGTTTTTCTTCTTTGTTCTCTGGGATGTTTTTTGTGCTTTTTTTAAAAGAAATCTTCTGATAATGTCCCATATCTTTGTGGCAAAGCACAAAGTAAAATGCAGAGCCCTTTTTTTTTGTCTTTTATCAGTTTATCTCTTTACCTACTAAAACTAGATATTTTAGTATTAGAGGTTTTTGTTAATTTATTTGTTTGTTTTTTGAGAGCTGTAGGGTTGTATCAATTTCTCCATATCATTTCTGCATTCCTGTGGTACGGAGTTGAGAGTTGAGGGTAGTTCCGAATCAGGATGAAGCAAGGCCTAGGCTCCATGTAAGAGCTCTTGCTTCTTACAGACAATAGGCAGTAGAGGAAGTTGTAGGAGTGACTGTGAAGTAGAGGAGAGTACCATCAAAATAAGGATATATGTCCACGCCCATTGGTCCAAGAGTAGGAATCAAAGAAAGAATTGGAGACAAAAAGCTCAGTGTATGCAAAGGACGTGGGCTCAGCTGGAGGGAAAGGTGATGATGGCACTTCTCAATAGCATTATGTACAGGCAGTTTTTAGGGGAGCAGCAGCTGAGAAAGGATCGGGCTGTGGGCTGGAGACACAGCCCAGACAATCACATGGGCAAGTTTCCCAAGCAAGTGCAGAATAAGAGCCAAG